GGATCGTCACTGCAAAATTCTGGCCCTATCCCCTATGTTGTAAGTTCAAAGCAAACTTTCAAATTCTTTCAAATGCGCCAACCTTTGCCTGTTCCGTTATACTTTTTAAAGGCTAGAAGGGGTATACCCTTGTGGTAACCGGGCCGAAGGGAACAGAAAAAGTCACTGAAATTGTGCTGTTTAGCTCCTTTCATCTCTTCAAACTGTGACTTGAGTTGCTGCAGTTGCAGCCACCAGAGAGAGTCGACTGAATTAGGACCGCTTGAGGGCGTCGCTGGATTAAAGGAGGGTTGGGGTTGTTGGGCTGGAGTTGACGGGAAATTGGCTGAATTAGCTGGAGGTGCTTGGAATGCTTAAGGAGGGGTTTGAAATTTACTTTGAGGGAAGGCAGCGGCCATAGGAGCAGACTGCGGATTTCCCGAGAATGCTGGATGAGGTCCGAACGATGGACAAGCGCCTGAAGAGGGCATATAGTAATGGTACCCTTATTGGTACGAGGCTTCTGGCCCAGCCTGAGGGCGGGTCCCACTGGAGAGTTGGCCAGGTCGATCGCCCTCCCTCCTCTTTTTTTTCTCGGATGGGGCCTCCTGTCCCTCCCCCGTCGCATAAGGAGTGTCTAAAGACAGAAGTTCTATTCGATCCAGCCAGATTTTTCAGAACCTTTTCAAGCCCCCCTCCCTCCTATTAAGTAAAAGGGAAGAAAGAAGAAATCCCTTTCTTTACCTTTACTGATACAGATGATTGTTCGGGCATCTATCTCCTCTCCAATCTCTACTAATTATTAGAAAGGCGTTGAGTCAGAAGGCTTCTATCCCTCGAGGTAGGCCCTATGTTGAGTAAGGGGGGATGGAGGCGGTAGAGAGAGAATACTGAACCTACCTCCTTTCCACTAATAAGCTTTATTCTCGATCGCTCCTTCCACTAATAATCCGAGGAAGAGGGATCCCCCATTATGTGTGCTTCTATCCCCTCTAGGGAGGAGGAGTAAATACGATAGACTTCAAAAGTATAAAAAGAATGATGGCTTTCAAGGCAGGAAGGAGTCAAAGGTATTTCACTCTTATTCCGGCATTTTAATAAATCCGCTATTACTTACTGCTTTTAAGGGCTTTTTGCAAGGAATGGTTAGGACAGAGCATAGCCCCTTGGAAGGAGGACTCTTTAGAGGAGTCGAGTTCAAGGCATCAATAGTCGTCCTCTCCCTCACCCAACTCATCGGATACTAAAACAGCTATTAGGGCCGGGACGAGAAGAATCAATCCGCCTCGCCTATCGATTATCGGAGAAGGCCTTGACCCCCGAGCCTTCCCAAAGGCTATGTGAAACTCTATAGAGGGCATATATCTCCCTAACTGATCCGGAGAGGCGATAATGAATGGTCGAGTCATATTTGGGGATCTATACCATAACATGAGTTGGAAGGCTCTTCCGTAAGAGAGAGCCGAGGGATAGAGCAGAAATCCCGGAGAATCACTAGGGATAAAGGAATAGAACTCCTAGTGCTGAAGGCTTCCACTCTATCTATATCGTTCGGGCATCTCCCTGACCGAAGGAGTACTGAAGAAGCTTTCATTTGCTCTTAACGTTAGTGCGAAGAGAGTCAAGGTATTCCCCCATCCTTCTCTAGGGGATTCATTAGAGGACCTATATTTCTTCCTGATCGGCCATTGATAGATCAGACTATAACCTCTTTTTGTTGAGATTATCTTATACAGCGAACTTGTTTAGGTCAAAGAAGAGAGAGGCTAGGAATCAGGAATCTTCCCCTTTGCATTTCTTATATGCAAAAAAAAACCACTAGGAGCCTATTCTTTGAACCTGAAAGATTTTATATCTGGCATTTCCATTATTATTATTAGTAAGCCTTTGTTTGAAAGATGTTGATGACTTTTGCTGCCTCGTAAGTGAGATTTGGGCACCTTATCAGACGAAGTTGTTAGACCGCTTCGGATAGTTTGTTTTCAACCCGAAAAAACCTGACGTCACTTGTGTTTTTGCAACATCTTCGGTAAGTTCTGTGCTGGTCGTAGAATCCGAAGCTATGATGAAATATCCTAGGTTCCGCATCAGAGTTGGCACAGCGAATGCCCATAGACTAAACGGGGGGACCCAACTCGATATAGTGAGCTTGATATCGCATTTGCTAATCTTCTAATGTATTTAGAGAAGACTATTGACTCTGCAAGGCTTTAGTTTGTCATAAGGTTCCTCCTGTACGCCTGTCAATGGATTCGAGTATTTGCCGCATGTATCAGGAAGAAGGGCCCTTACCGGAAATGGGTATGTATTGAGAGTGAAGGGATTGATTTCGCTCGCGCATTGAGAGTTTTGGATGAAGCCTTTTCTTAAGGAATCTTGTACCTTGACCCGCGTAGATATTGAGTCTAGTCCATCCATATTGCCTTTATGAAATGAAAGAGCTCTTTCTGAGCAGGGTTAGAATGAAGGAGATGATCGAGTTTTTGAGTTTCGATGGGGTTCTTTCTCCTGTAAAGTCGAA